CGGGGGGGGATCCTGATACCCAGGACCCTTGGGGGGGGCGGATCCTGATACCTGGGTCCCTGAGACGTGTGTGTCTACTCCCCCCACACCGTGGTGCCACCCACCTCCTCCCTCGCCCCCCCCCAACACGCCATGCCAGTTGCCACAGGTGTTGAGGTCCTCCCCGTGTCCCCCAGGTACGCAGCCTACCGCACACCCCGCTGGCCCCAGTTCCGGACGCAGTACGTGCGGCGCCGCAGCCAGCTGCTGCGGGAGCAAGCGCAGGGTGGGGCGCTGGAGGGGAGCACCCGGCGCTGGTACCTGCGGGTGCGCACCCGCCTGCTGGCCCAGCGCTACGGGGCCCTCTCGGAGCAGAGCAGCTGCCGCGCCCACAGCAGCAGCGCTCTTCGCGCCAGTCGCACCACCCTCGACCGCATGGAGGTACAGCCACAGGAGGGGGACAGGGGAGACAGGGGCTGTGAGCCCTTCCCAGTGGGTGGGGAACCCACCCAGGGAGACTCTGGGGTCATGGCACAGCTCCTGGAGGCTGCAGCGCCCGTTTTGGGGGAGCTGCGGGGTCCCAGCACCTGGTTTGGGGGGGTTGTGGGGTCCCGGTACCCCTCTGGGATCCCTGCAACCCAGTGGGGTGCAGGGGCCCCCACAGCCGTGTCCTTTCCCCAGGACTTTGAGGAGGACCCACGGGTGGCCCGGGGACACCGGCGCTCCCTCAGCCGCGGCTCCCACCCTGGGGTGCCCCGCGGGGCCCCCGATGAGCGGTGAGCACACCAGGTCCCCTGGGGTCAGTGGGTGCTGGCGGGGGGGTCAGGGTGCTGACGCCCAGACGCCTGGGTCCGCAGTCCCCCCGGGGTGGTGCCGACGCCACTGGCAGAGGCAAGCCGCGCCATGGCCGGGGACACGACACTGAGCGAGAACTACGCCTTCGCCGGTGTCTACCACGTCTTCGACCAGCACACCGAGAGTGCCGGTAACCAGGGGGGGCTGGGAGGGCGGGTTTCCCCCGGGTGCCAGTGGCAGGCGGGGGGGGCCCGGGGCCGCCCCGAGTGGGGGCCCGGGGGGGGGGG